TCACAAGAGCAGTTTCTTTCCAACTTCAGATATTTAATGGTTGATCTATGGCCTGAATGGCAGACAGGAGCTAAACCTTTAGCTTAGCTGAGCATTGTAAAGTGTATGTATTCTGGTTGCAGTTTTCATGAGTGCCAAGGGGTTCCTTGGATTCTTGCAGTCTCCAAAAGAGGCAAAAGACCTACAACTAGATTAGCAGAACAACTTCACAGATCAGTGTGGCTCACCTTTTCTTTTTTGACTTTGATCTTCCGTGGAACTGGCACATATGTGCTGTTAGAAGAAAAAAGAACACCACCAAGATTAGTAGAAGCCCAACATATTCCTCTATTTCCAAAGAAGGAAAGAATATTCATCATGTACAGGAATAAATTCAAATTATTTAAAAGCAATAAATTAAAGAAATTGTTGGAAAATGAGGCTACAATTAAATAAAACAGCATGAAAAGAACTGAGGTGTCACTGAAGCAAGTTTATAGGAAGCCATTACATTTCTAAATTTTCAAGTTAATTATTGACAGTAGGACACCAAAGGTTTAATTGACAATATATTGCAAAGTCAATATTATGTGGAGCCCATGACTTCTAATTCTTGGCTCATGACTGTTGCAGTCTTTGCATTTTGATGATGGGGGAGGCTTTCAATTTGATCTCATGGCAGAAAAACCTTTTCCCACCAGGGGGAGACTTTTCCCCTCCTAATACTTTAGCTACTGCATGATTTTCAGAGTAGGTGGTAGTAGAGCTCATAACTTCTGTGGTGATGTGCAACTCTGGCATTCCCAGCACACAGCCCCTCACCAGCAAGCTATTCCCCTCCTCCCTAGGGGCATGCTGAAGGCTTCCTGCAGTTACCAGCGTAAAACTTCCAAGTCATACCTTATGACTGGGTTGAAATCACGAGTCATGCCTTGAAAACAAAAAAAAACTTTTCTTCCCCATATCTCATGCACAGTGCATGCTGGCACTGCACAGCTCATCACGAGTGCTGTAAAAAAAATCTCCCTGAGTTTGTTTCAAGTGAGAAAATTCTGAACTGGCCTTGTAACTGAACTACTTCCCAAAATATACTCTGCATACTTTTTAGATGGGTTGCAATAAATCACCAAATCCTTCCATTAGTTTAATCTAAATGTTTTTGCTTGATTTTTGGTAACAAAAAAGTTCCTGTGATTAACATTTTATTTCTCTTTGAACCATGGATCATCAGCACTTCGAAACATTAGTCTAAGCCTTCCCAAACCAGCAGTGACCTGGCAATGTCCTCATCTCCTTGTGTACTTCCGGCCATCTTAGATCCCTGCCCCAGGCTGGATGCAGTGGAAGATGTGATAGGTGGGTTCCAGCCCCCTGAGATGTGACACGAGATGCTAATGGAGAAAGGGACACCTATGCAGACTTCTTAATCTGCCCTCAGCAAATCTGTCCTCAGCAAATCTGCCCTTGCATCTGCTTCCCATGCCTGACCTTGGGTTAGCAAAGTCAGTAGAAGTAGTCTTGGTGATCCCATGTCATTTTGGTCATTATGAAGACATAAAGCACTTCTTTGTTGGTGAAATCTCCTCGTTATTATATAAATGAACAGCCAGTCTTTTCTGAAAAGGTGATGTGGAAGAAACAAGAGGCCCATACTTCATGGACAACTAGCCAGGTACAGTAGAAGACCAAAGTGAACGGTATGCAATATTCAAGACAGTATTTGCATAGACCTCTAATCCAACCAGGACAATACTGTAGCTCTTGTCAGATGACATGCTAGTCATTTTAATCATGGGATTTTAATTTTTTTAGAAGAAATACCCAACTCCTGCTGTCACTTGGCTGCACAATTTCATACAACCACATGGAAAGTATTGGCATGCTGATTAAGACCAAACAGAGACCTGCGCCATTATGATCATGTAAAAACTGGGCTGCATAGCAGCCAGGGAGTTTGTGACCCAGTAAATACCACACAGGAGTGGAACAGAGAGTGAAGCCTGTGATGAAGGTGGCTACGGGTGGAATTCGTATAAACTGTTCTTCTATGAGCCACTTGGCAGGGCTCTCACGAAGTCTGCCAGCATCACTGGCCACCTTGTACAGGACATTCACTGTACTGTTGACTCAAGTGGAAGATGTGGAACATTTTAAGGAATACAAAAATTGTTCTTTGCCAAACCAAGCGGAGATACATGGAACTTTTTTCACTATGGACAATTGTAGAAGACTTGTAGAAGTTAAGGCAACTAGGCTAAATATACGACTGATGAGGGCCTGAAGGTTTTCTGTCCCAGAAGCCCTTTATTGGTCTGTTACAATGCGCTGTCTTAGAGAGACACTTTGGAATGGAACATCCATCAGTCAAATGGGACATGTCTCATTTCAGCTATCAAATTGATCTAATATTAAGGCCATCTGCAATTTGATTTTTCTTTTGAACCATAACACAGGATGCTTATCTTTTTTTAACTATGAGTGCACTCAGGTGGGTATTTCTTCTCTTCTAAAATATTGAATTTCAGATGGGTTTTATTTTTATCTGATGCCTTCTCCCCTTTACAAATGTACAGTCAACAATCTCCTTATACACTGTATCTGACATTGTGCGTTTAATGCATGCCCCTAGGTTTATTCTGTTACCCTAAAAATATACTAAATGTATTGTTATGATTTGATGGTTTTATTGCTCCAGCATGTGCCAGCCTATTAATTACACAATTTCCCTGCTTTCAGTATGGCAAAAATCTTACAATATTGGTATTTCTTCCATGGGGTTAAACACTCACACACTAATTTATACCAGAGGCTTACCAAGTCCATGTATACAATCTAATTATAAATATATAATATATCCTGTAATTTATTAAGCAAAGAGTTTTTCCTTTCATGTGCTATGACTGCCTCATAGTCAACCAGGTATATCTTCCTGACAGGCTAAGTGCTCACTGAGCTTTACCACTGCAATCCACTTTCTGCCTCTTCTGAGGGTAAATACTCAACAAAAAATAGTATACGGCTTTGCAATCTGGGCACAGAACAGTGACAGTGATGGAAACATGGACGGGTGGATTTGACAAAGATGCAGCAAGGGGCTTCATTCAAAGGCCACAGAAGGCAGCTGGGAGCTTTCCATTGCTTCTGATAGGATTTGGATCCAGGCTTAAGAGCAGAGGTTCTCAACCTTTTTTATCAATACAGCTTCCAAAAAACCCAAAACCCTAAACCATGCATGAAATGTCACTGATACTTCTTAGCTGATTTTCTAAGTGGGCTGATTTTTCTGAGTTACAAGTGTGTCCTGAAAATGGATTTTTCGAGACAATTTATGATTGTACATACTAAGTGCTGGTGGGAAAAAAAGGTAAAAAGAGACTAAAACACATTTGTTACAAGTTAAGAGATTCTTAATACGGAGTGAAAAGAATCTAAAATGCATTTGCAAAGAGAGAAAAGAAAAAGAAAAGAATAACTAAATTACCATTTGTTGTCCCATCAAAAAGTTTGCTTTAATAATTAAAAGTGGGTCTTATCCCCTGACAACAGGGACATACTTTTCCAAGATTTTACTCTTTTGAGACTCTGAAATGGGGAAAAAGGTTGAAATGTCTTGAAATACTTCTCTCTGGCATAAAGTAATCTGATCTGGTGTTGCTGCCTATGTGCAGCAGAGTGCCACTGAGCAATCCCACCAGGCTGTGGCTTTACATCCAGCAGATAGCCTCACACACAGTACAAATGTCACGTATTTCATTTGCTGGATTAGGAGAAGCCATTTTATAGGAAGGAAGAGAATCCGTTAGCAGGCAATCAGAAGAAACATGCATTTTGTTCACATTTCTAAACCTAGTGCTGCCATAAATGTGTTAAGCAGGACAACATTAGAATCACAGAATAGGATCATAGAACGGTTTGGGTTGGAAGGGACATTTAAAGGTCATCTAGTCCAACCCACTTGCAATGAGCAGGGACATCTTCAACTAGATCAGGTTGCTCAGAGCTCCGTCCAACCTGACCTTGAATGTTGCCAGGGATGGGGCATCCACCATCTCTCTGGGCAACCTGTGCCAGGATTTCACCACCCTCACTGTGAAAAATTTCTTCCTTATCTCTAGTCTAAATCTCCCCTCTTTTAGTTTAAAACCATTACCCCTTGTCCTATCGCAACAGGCCCTGCTAGAATGTCCATCCCCGTTACTTGTGAAAGGACTTACAAAGAAGAAATTGAGAATAAATACCAGCATGGCACATTGATGCCAGGTAGAACACATTATTTTAAGGCTAAGGCATACAGGTGACACACAAAACAATGGTGTCTCCTCTGCACGGCTCTCAGTCACATTCCACCAGGAAAGACAGACTGAGCTCGTGACCGACCTGTCCAGGGGAGGATGCTGTGGATGGGGGACTGAGTGCTGTGGTCTGCTTCTGCTCTCACTGCCTTGCGTGAGCAGCCTGCACATCCCTCTCTGCTTCCCCGTCCTCTTCTGCAAGTGGGATAATACTTGTTGGAGGACCGCTTAGCCACCCAAAGTGTCTCAGGTAGGATAATCCAGGTGTCTAAGACCACTGTTGAATGAATAATCCACCAAACACCTCATTCCGCAGATGGCTTTCTGATGGGTACGTCTGGGTATAGGCATTCTGGCTGCACCCACTGTACTCCCAAGGGACTGGAGAGGAGGGGGAATGGGCAGAAGCCCATAATGAGGCACTGAACCCCAAAGCCCAAGAAGTCGCTGCTAAAACTGACCACCTCCAGCAGCAAAACCTCCCCCTTTCATCTCTCTGAGACCACTGTGTTGGGTTGTGAAGAGCTGGATCTGGATCTTCGCCTCGAAGACTGCACCATAACATTAAGTTTTTCCCAGGAAACACGTGTTCAGGACTGAACTCTGACCTGAGAGGGTCTGTAAAGCTCCCCGGAGCCTTATCAGAAGCAAGGATTTGCCCAGCATGGGCTTTTCTATCCTACAGCAACATGTGGGGGCTCCCACCCTTTCCTCCTGCCCGCTCAGCGCTGCCCTTACTCACAAGTTGATGGTGCCTGTGGTGAGAGCGGTGACAACCCAGCGCAGGTCCAGGGTTTTGAAGGGGATCAGGATCATGCTCACGTTTTCTGCCAGCTCTTTGTAGCTCTCGGGGTAAACGAAGTGGTGAGTGGTCTTGCTCCCAACATCTGATTCGTAGCCAGTGGTGGGGGCACGGTTCATTCTGCAGCCCAAAAATAAGAAGTGAGAGTGTGAGGAAGCAGGAGAGGAATTAGGTAGGTAAAAACATGTGTGATTCTTCCCCAAATCATTTGCTTGAGGTAGCAGGAAAATGTTCCCATGGCTAAGGAGAGTGCTGTATGCAGGGTCTTCAGACAGCCTTGACAGGGTGTAGTGGTCCTCGAGCAAGCTGAAATGACCATCACGCATAGTGGATAAATTAAAAGTAAATGAAAGCTCAGCTTCAGTGTGTGATTCCTGGGGCTGAATGGGAGCCTCTGCCAAGCAAGTGTATCTCTGAGCACATCCCTGGGTTCCCTTTACAGTCAGCAGAGAGCTGGTCTAAAGAGCAGTGAGTCCATGAGGACACATCTCCTTTCATCCTAAAGCTGAAGCCTCAAGTAGGTGAGAAAAATATTGCCCTGAAGGCCATCAGCTTGACTTGCAGTTTCATTCTCCCCATCTGTACAGGTGTATTTGGATGTCTAGGGTCAAGGTAACAAACCATGTTATGTGTGATAAGAAGCAGCAAATATTTCTTAGGGTCCTCCCATGAAAAGGCACCAAAGCCACAGTGACAAATCCAGGATCAAGTGCTGACACTTCATTTACTCAAACCTTATTTTGCAGTATGTCCCCCAATTTCAATACATCTACTTAGGGTCACTCCGCGCACACGTGGTGTGCTTTCAAGTAACCCTGGGGTCACTGCATGGAGATCTATCCAGGACCCACCAGAGCTCAGTCAAAGCGTGTTGGCCAAACACCTTATGTTGGGTGTATCAGGGAGCAGAGTGGGTGTTTCTGAGCTCAGGACTGCAGAAATGCCTCTATGCTTGTGTTCACTTCTGAAAGCAAATCTGGGGACATATCAGCAATTCCTTCCCTGAGGCATTAGCTCACTGCTAGTAAAGATTTGTAGGCTTCTATGGGGCAGTGCAATGCACGCTAGAGATCCCCAAAGTGGCCCTGCCTGACCTCGCATGAATCCATGGTGCTATGCAACACCATGCAGAAACGCCCACGCTGGCTCTGAGCAGAATGGGGTTTCTCTGCAGCCCAGTGGAGTCTTCTACCAAGGCGTTATTAGCTCATCTCCTGGCAGAAGTGCAAGGAGGACAAGGAAGGACCAAGCAGGAATTTCCTTCTGTCAAGAAAGTTGATAGTTAAACAAATAAAAGTGGTCTGGAACATGATGTTTGGAAGGAAATGTGTCCCCTCAGACTCCCTGGCTCTTCCCCGAACTTGGTTGTATTGCCAGAGTACGTGCAAGTGAACATCAGGTCACCAGAGATTTTGTTTGTTGGATTAACACACAGAGGGGTCACCTTCTCTGCATACATTTCCATGGTGAATCCTAAAACCTTGTGCCATCCCCTCAGATCTGGCTTGAGATTGCTAAAATATAAATCTGAGACTGGGAGCTTCAATTCCAAGTCACAGAGAGCTTCTCCCTTGCCAGGGATGCACTGCCACGGGAAGGGCAAAGCCTAAGAGAAGCAGCACACATCTAAGTGCATTCCTCTTTAGTTACTACTCCAAAAAATAGCTTTTAAGTCTAGCAAAGCTTTTTCTGCATGAATCTGGAAATGCAGGCCAGGCAAGATGAGAAAGTCCACACAGGAAGAGGGCTGTCTCACATTTGCAACCTGTGGGAGTAATGTCGAGGGCTCTTCACTTCCCTTTGCAGATCTGAAGACCAGGTCGGCTGCCACTGCCTTTGAGGAGGCACTTTTGGCAGAGGGCAAGGCGTGCAACTGAAGGAAGCAACTCCTGAAGTGGTTTACTGAGAACATTTAGATGTCATTTAAAGACTCTGCAGTGTGTCCCAGCCACAGTGGAAGCCCAGTGGCCTAAGGTGGCCTAACAGTGCAAATAGTGCTGATCTTCTGCTGGTTCACTCCTGACTTCAGCACACAGCTTCCTGCTAAAGGTTATGTTGTTTCTGAGAGTGTAATCCCACGTGTGGTATTTTCAGTAGCAATTGGTTCCTTCCAGGCCCTCTGCCCTGCCCTGCATTGCTCCCCAAATTGTGCTGTACTGGCAGCTGGGATGTGAAAGCTGGACAACACGTTGGAGATGAATTTAGCCCAGACATCTTGGCTGTCCTCTGGGTGACTAGCTCTGCTGACCTACTTTCTGCTTGTGTTTTAGTGGGACAGAATAGCCAACCTTCATCGCCTCAAAAGGAAGAGGCAATGTGACCGTTTACAAGGTAGTTGCAGACAACCTGTTGTCTCCTGTTCATTGCGAAGTGATGATTAAGAATGCATCAGTGCAAAAAAGTAAAATCTCATACAGTCAGTTAAGTGTGTAAAAGATCACTTGTGAGTACGAGTTGTTGAAATAACTTTTACTCAAAACTGCAGGGTTTTTCAGCTACACTTTTTAACACAGGCAATTATGGACAGTGCAGAACAAGCTACAGTATCAACACCTATTCATGTTTTTTTTCCAAGCTAAAACATGAGGTCATATCTCCAACACACATAGTTTACATCCCTGGAACTTAGGTTTGACCTAAGTACCAGATTTCACTAGATAGCCCTTGAAATCTTGTTTGCTCACTTATCTCCAAAAATACCAGTGAATCTTAAGCAACAGAGACGTCTGGAGCTGAGGTGGTGGCTACTTACCTGAGCACAAAGTCATGGGAGTCAATATCTGGGCCATACCGAGACTGCAGAAGGTTCCCAGAGTTGCCCACGACGGCACACCGTCTGCACGTGTAAGTGCCTCGCTCCTGCAGTGGATCCCCATGCCCGGGAATGATCCCAAAGAATTCCTTGAGGGTAGCATTAATATTCTTCGGAGTTTTCTCTCCTTGCAATTTCTGTTAGAGAGAAAAATCACCCCAGCTTACCAATACAGCTAGCTCTTCTGTGACCAAGATGTAGCTTCAAATGTCTTCTCAAAGACCATTCTTGTATCTACTTGCAGACACTGTCTCCTGCAGTATGCATTACAAGGCGTTGGGTTAGGAGCAGAAAAAAAGTGGAAAATCCCTTCCCATTAACTTTTTAAACTTGGTTCCCCTTTTCCTTTCTTTTTACTTGGGTTCCCTCACCTGCTCAATCCATCTATCCGTGGTGAAACAGATCATGTGTTCCCCAAGGCTGATCCTCTGGTGCCTATAAGCCTAATCCCACTTTGGGTCAGATATCTTCTGTTAGGACATGTGTAAGATTTCTTTTAAAATCTCCTAGGAAGGACAGAACCTGATGGACCCCAGATGTGGCTGACATCCCTTCCACAAATTTTGGCATATGCCAGAAGTGGAAGATCTCATTGCTGCTTTTCTGGACTGTGGAGGAACAAGCTCCTAGTGTATAGGAAACTATGGTAGAGTTAGCCCTGAGCGCTGGAGATGTAGGTACATCTAAAAAATTCTCCAGGATGAAGAAAACCACCCGGACCTTGGTCATTGTGTCTGTTGCCATGGAAGGAAACTCTTTTGTAGCAGCTCTGTGGTGCATGGTGGAAACAATGGCTGGACGGGGAAGGTACAGGCAAAGCGCAGGGCAGGCGATGGTCAGACACTCCCTTTCTGGGGTTCTGCTCTCCAAGGACTACTAAACAGGTTGGCAGTGCTGGCAGGCTCACAAAAATCATTGCCCACCATCGTGGTGCCGCTTGCTTGCAAGTTCACAAAGGGAGTGCAGCTCCTAACACAAAACCTGCCAAAAGGCTCTGCCCTTGCTCTGCCAGCCCAGGGCAAGAAGAGGCAGGGAGGGACAGGGGAGAAACACCTTTTCCCACGACTCCCGGCAATGGCCTGGGGTAATTTGGCTTTAGTTTCTGATGCGTTTCTCTTGCCTGTACCAGGAACTGTCAGTTTGTCCTGATCTCTCTCTCTTACACAAAAACACACACAGATGTATCACTGTAATTTTTGTTTAAATTTCATGCTGTCTCTTTGCAGACCTACGTAAAGCAACCTTATTTGCACTGAATTGAACAACAGGTCCATGGGGGGAGCTCACAGCTGCAAGACAACACTGGAGACAATGCCTGAAAACAAAGAAGACAAAGAAATGGTACATACAAAGACTTAATCTTCCTGCTAATTCTTGCTAACCTATATACTTATATATGGACTACACAAGGTGATTAGGATGCAAGGTAATTAGGATGCCCAAACAAGCACCGTCATTATTACCACATATGTCACTATTCAGTGGAGGGCTCAATTATTTACATGCAAAGGGTTATCTTCTTCTAAATTTGTGTGTGATGCTACAAACACATGTTCACATATCTAAACTCTTGTGTATTCTTTATTAATCCTATCTAACCTGTTTTTAAAAACGCTGAATTTATGAAAAACATTTAATGTTAGAAAGCCTGCAGTGTTCAAAATAAATGGAGACTTTTCGCAGATGTCATACAGTGTAAGATCTGGTGTATAATGCAGAAAAATCCAACATTTTTTTAAAAAGGAATTTGATTTTAATTATTTGAACACTTACATGCATATTCCCATGCATACCCTTTTACTACATAGGTGAACTGACATGAAAGCGAAAACTGCCAAACATGCACCAAAACATTTTTAAGAACATAGTTATTCGGGGAAAAAAACCCCAAAACCTATTCTTGAAGTGATTTTGCCTGAGAAAATTCAGATGAGGAAGGTAATTTTCAGAAAATGCTAAATATCTGAGCCCCCTTTTTAAGTTAAATTGCCTTTTCAGCCAGAATGATAGCATCAGTAAAGGAATGGAACTGGAGTATTGATTCCTGTTTGATGCATTAAAATGGTAAGAAACATTATTATGGCACCTCCATTACATCGAATAGGAATCTGTCTTTTCTGTCTGTTACGCTGCCATCAGTCTTGAGTAACTCTATTGAAACCAAATTAAAGCATGGGCACCAACTCCGGCCAGAAAGCAGGACACCATCATCCTACGATCCCTCTGTTGTACATGACTTCCACAGCGGAGATTATTACTTATGTTAAGACATTCCCTCAATGACCTCAAACAGTATGAGGACCTTATTACACCGTGCGCTGAACACCCATCCAATAAGACATCTGTCCTTACCTCATTAAAAGTGGTCTGTTTTAATTTCGTCAGTGATTATCTGATTGGACTATACTTTCCAGGCCTAATCTTCAGTCAGCACGGGTTAGTCTTTGACATTTCAGCAAAACAGAGCAGAGCAGGCAATGGTTAACACCAAGGCAGACAGTTTTTAAAAGTTCAGACTTAATGTGCAGCCAGTTCCTTATTGCACAATGTTTACTCGACTTCTTGAAAAAGACCATTTTTAATATCATTACAATTACAAGCCAATTATAGTTCACTTCCCCACACCACATTTTTGTCTTTTTTTTGAGTAATGTTTTTTTTTCCAACAAGCTCCCACCAGTCTGGCCTTTCCCATAAATCAACCAAAGCACTGGGTGAAAGTCTGTCCCATGCCGTGCAAGGCAGAGCCGTGGCAGTGCCATGTGGCTCTGCCAGGACATCATCCTCCCTCCAAGTGCCATGGATGTGTGCCAGGGATATGTGTATAGACATAGCTGCTGGAAGTGGGCTTTAAATACACTGAAATACCTGACCCCTGTGTTCTGAGTGAAATGGCTGCTTTTCTCAGAAGTCGTGTGGCAACAGCCATGTCTACTGATGCAGTTTAACCTCTTGCCCAAGTCCAAAGAGCGTCCAAAGAGCGTCTTAACCCTCCTTGTGTCCACATACAAAATATCACTAGATCACTTAACACCTCCATAAAATATTTGTTTGGCACTTGAGAGTCAACTCCTCAACTAGGTTGCTAAAAAATGTAGTTGGGAGTTCAGATTGAGAAGTTTGCTGATCATCTCCACAGGGAAGACAAACTGCCCTGTCCTCCCAGCCTTCAAAACTCCCCAGTTCATATACAGAAGTTTACTAGTTGGTTTTGCACCTTAACAAAAGCAAGAAAAAAACCCAAACCTCAAAGTTTATGCACTTCCTTTCTTTACCCATGAATGGCTTTCTGAGGAAGAGCCTGTTGCTCCTTCTCACACCACGGTGTGCACACCTCCATTAAGAGGACTTTGCTGCTTTTATAAACTTCTCGGAAGGCTTCCCTGGGCTCTCCGGCACCATCACATCGCCAGCGATCACCAAGAAGCAATACCCAAAACTCAGCTAAGGGGATGCAAAGGGAGCGTGTGAATTCAGCCAAGGTTGCTGAGAGCTAACAGCCTGGAGCGGTGAGGACGCAGCTACAGCCGGGAGAGCCTCAACGGAAAGCTCCTCTGGTGCCTGTGCAACTTGCATCCATGGACCAGTTTGGCACAGTATTAAATACACTTTCAAATTCCTAACTTATCAG